ATAGCTTAGCTTGGCAGAGCAGCTTCAAAGCAAATAGGTGCCTTATCACTATTCACCAGAAATCCCTTTTCTCCAGTTAAAATAGTGCCCGTCTTCCTGCAGAGCAAACGGGGCCGGAGCCCTGCAACGTTCCAGCACCTCCACGGTCCCACTGGCAGCTTGGATTAAAAACACGGGTTTAAATGTGAGGATTTTGATGCATTGCCAGCTGATTAGCTCAGTGGAAAGGTATTTTGTGCGTGTGTGTGGAGCAGGAAGACTTTTTTGGTGTTTTGGGGTGTTTTGGGGTTTCTTTTTTTTGTCTGTGTAGTGACCCTGCTGTCACTGAAGCACTAGGCACGGATGAGAAATGTCCCCAGAGACCTTCGGGAGCTAGTGAGAAAGCTCCAAAWCTTCTATTTATAAATTTATTTMTTTMTTTATTTTAAAAGCTCTACAATGGGTAAAAAGCATCATCCCTAGGCAAAAATTATGACTGGAGTCTCCATATGCCAGAGTCACCACTCTAATGTCTTCCACTTTTTACCTCTGTTTCTCAGCGACCTGTACTGAGACTGTCACATATATCCACAGCAAAGAATAGGAAGATTTAACTCGGTTACACCCAAATCTCAAATAATCCCAAGCAGGAAATATTTTTCCGCGTCCTAACTCTCTGTTCTACATAACAAAATACCTTTTAGTCTCGTCATTCATGTTATATAATCCAAAAAAATAAGCAAGTTGGTGTTTTTGTTGGAAGGGGCTTCCATAGGCGCCGGGGAGCCGGAGGATGATGCTGGTCGGAGCCTTCGGYGTCCTCCCGGCTGGAGCAGCCTCTCCTGTGCCTGTTCTGAGAGAAAATCCCTGAAAATTTGAACAGTGTGCAAAGTGATGGCCTAAATCCTGGGTTACACCACGGGRGAGACGTCCCATGCTCCAGGACTTCTGCCTTGGGCACTCACTGCTGACCATGCAAAAATGCCTGCTGCCTGAATAAAAACCTCAGGATTTACCTCGAAATGGAAGCAACGTTTATTTTCCCAGTAAATAAAAAAATTCGCAGCTCCTTTGATGGGCTTTTTGCTAGGGTTTAATCGAGAATTTCTTATCCGACCGCCCGTCGGAGGCTCTGCAGCCGCTGCAGCCCTGGAAGAGGAGCTATTACGGGTCCATTAACAAAACCTCTCCTCATCTGCCTCTTTGTCATGAATTTTTCAAGTTCAGTAAAGAGAGAAATAGCTTTGTAACCTTGCGGCTTTAGTGGCAAATGTGCCTGGGAACAGCTCGTACGGGGAAGCTGTCAGGGTTGTATTAACGCCTCGGATGGGTGAGAGCAGGAGCTGGCGGGAGCATCCCGGCCCCCGCAGTGCCCTCCGTGCCACATATCAAATCACAGGGAATTTATGAGGTAATAACCGGGTTCTGTGTTGAGGGTGCGCCAGGAACACAGAGCTAAGGGTTTTGGTCAGCGTTTTGCAGGATTTGTGTGTGCTGAATTTACTGGATGCTGGAATTTCTGAAGAGGGRTTGAACAAAACGGTGCCGCTTAGTAAAAGTGTAGATTCTGCTAAGAATGAACCAGTGCCAGGTTTTCTGCCTCTGTTTCTAGATTTTTCTTCTTGGATTTGTTTTTTCCCCCTGCTCCCCAGGGCTCCTCAAACTGGTATGAAAAGGGTATTTACAGAACGTTTGGTATTTTATATGTATTGAAGACTGAGAAGACGTCTTAACTCTTTAGCTTAAAAATTAGTGCTATAGCCTCAGAATTTGCAGAAGGGAAGAGTCCTGCTGCAGCTTTAAATGCAATAGCTGTTACAGCAGCACTATCAAAGGTGGCATTTTTACTATGGAATAACTCAGTGTAAGTTATATAGGAGATAAGAGATGCCAGCCTTGGTGGCACTTGCTCAGTTGGTTGCAACGCTGAGGAGTTGGGGTGATGAAGCCGAGAGCTGGGCTGCTCAGGCTGCCGCTGGCCTTGGGCGGGACGAAATTCTCCATGAGAGAGGATCAGGAGGAGGGCACGGAGGTCTCGCGTGGCTGCTTGAAGTGCATTATTGCTGGAATTGGTAAAAACTTGTAGGAACTTGTGTGCTGATTTTCCTTCTTCAGTACATGGAAACCTGACAATGGCCTCAACTTAAATTTTTATTTTTAAGGTGTCCAATGCATTTTGCAATTCAAAAAGCCAGACTTATGTGTTTATTTTATCTATTTATTTTATCTATTTATCTTTCGATGATATAAATATCAGAGCAAATAGTGTTATTTAAGAAGCGAGTCCCGGAGCTAATGCTGTCATCCTCCCATGTGCAGCTGGACAGGTTGAGTCCTAACTCAGGGCAGGGCAGAGCGGGACTTGCTTGGTTTCCAGGCATAATGAAGGCCTCTAGYAGGAGCAAGGAGATTTTATTTAACCCGCTTGTTCTTTTCATTAAAACCCGTGTTTTAGAAAGTGGCACCTCACTGGAATTGGCAAAACAGGTTTCTGTAATTGCAGCCCTTTTCTGGATGCAGTTCACAGGAGCTGCTCCTTCTGTAAGCAGTGGTATTTTATTGCATTTTAAGTAGAATATGATCAAGTGATCTATAGTGAAACGAGTTTTAACTTATAGATTATTTGCATGCTCGTTATTCTGGGAGACATAGAAATTGTGACTGCTGTTTGGCATCCTCTTGATACCTTTGCTGCACGCCAGTCTCTTCCATCACAACAAAAACGACCTGTTTGCGGGCTCAGTTTTCCCTTGGCCACCACGGATATATTCACACTTTCAGACTGGTGACCGCTAGTTTGGGGACTGCCGAATTATCAGATTTAAATAATTTTAGAAGTTAGTAAAAAGCTAAAGAATTGGGGCTGCAAGCGAAAGCAGGACATTGCTATGTTAGTGAGTTCTGTAGTCCAAAGTAGTAGTTTAACATTGCCAAAAATTTATTTAATTACTGACTTCTGAGAAGTCTTTACAGTTTAAAAGCTATAATCCCAATTTTACTTGGGGGATGAGGAGTGACTTTATTTGGGTGTGAGATCTCAATGCACAGCCTTAGAGAGATTATTTATAACTTCCAGCAAAACAAAGGGAAAAACAAATATGGATGTCATGGATCTATTTCTTCACACCTTAAAAATACTTTCTGTCGCTGCACTCCTTAAATCTTTTAAGCATTGTTTGATGAAATCCTTTTTATAGCAGTAGCAGGGGAATAAACCAATTTAACACAGTCCCCTTGCAGGTTTAAATTCCATCTTTCCACTATTGCAATTCTGGTATTTTTTTCCCCACAGTTGAATAAAACCCATCTATCCATTTAACTTGCGATAAGCCTCAATTTCTAGATCCTTTATTCTTCTTTTTGGTGGCTGGAGAGATTTAACGTGCTGCTGCTTGGGAAATGCTCTGCTTCTCTGCAGCCTGTGCAGCCTTGCGCTGYTCCAACCTCTCTGCCCTTTCAAGCAGCAGAAAACCCRAATAAGCTAARTTCTAATAAATATAAAATAATGAATAGAAAATAAATAAAATAATAAATAAAATAGAAAAGGCTGGAGTACCCTGCAGCTCTCCACAGCAATGGGATAGTATGCCCAGGTCTGTCTGCAGAYCACGCAGGAGCAGGCACAGGGTAACGGAGCCGTTTGCTTCCCCCTTCGCTCTCCCCGTCCCCTGATCACCCAGATGCTTTAATTAATTTTAAGGGAGTTTTATAGGTAGGGGTGAAGCGTGTCAGAAATGTTATTCTCCATTTAAAAGTGAGTTATCCTTCTGGATGAAAAGAGCAGGGCGTATTTATCGGGGTCATCCCCAAAGCATCATCACTAAAAATTATCTGCTGATGCGGAAAATTGGATTTATTCTTCTGGTAGCGTTTCCGTAAAAAATACAATTATATATAAATTTATATTCGCTAAAAGCTTGTAGTAAACTGGGCTTTTAGAAAATAGCACACTTATCTTCTAAAGTCCGKTTTGAAAGAGCCAGCTGGTGCTTACAGTACGGAGGCATAAAGCCAGGGAGAGATCATTCATTTCCTCGTTGAAGAAAGAGGGTGGAAAGAGGGGAACTTTGGGTRGAAATCCCTGTAAATGCTCTGCGGTGGGGCTGGCAACGGCACCGGGCAACCTCGGCGGGCACGGAGCAGGCTGGGCTTGGAGCGCTCGCGTTCGGCTCTCCCATGTACATGGTGCAGGTGGAAGGTACAAAGCGGTGAAATATTGCACYGGGAGGACCCAAAACAGTGAAATATTTTGTATTGGTGCCAGCTCGGTGCTGGTGACGGCGCTTTGAGGGCCTTTCCCGCAAAACAAGCGGTGCCTTGCAAAGAGAGCGCAGTGCTTCGGGAGCAGGCTTGTCCCGAGGGATTGTCCTGGGGTTTCCCAGGCCTTTTTCCCAGAGGTTTTAAAGAGTTTTGTGTGGCGTTGGCCCCGCTGCGAGGTCAGGCTTGCACGGAGCCCGTTGCTCCATTGCCCGCTCCAAAGAGGAGCCGCTTTCCAGGAATGCGCTTGAGGTGTCGGAACATCCCAGACTAATCCAGGGCTTGGGCTTAATCCCATGTACAAAAAAGAATTCAGAGCTTGCGACTGGGTGTTAAAATCTCTCTCTATATATATATGTCCTTATCCCTTTTTATGTAGGAGCCCAAATGGTTTGGGCTCTGTGAGTTATTAATTAAACTGCGCCGTCGCTGCTGGGCGGGCACGGGGAGACCTTGTTTGCCCTTCCCTGCTGGGCCGAGCGCCTCCGGGCTTTAATTTGTGTTTAATTTAGGTGAACGTGGCCCTGCGACTGCTGCAATTTCTCACCTTTATATTTGCCGAGCGGGGCCGATCCCGCCGCTGCTCCCCGGATCTCGCGGAACCGGGGCGGGAAGGAAGGAAAGTTGGGAACAAAGATGCGCTTTCCCCTCCGAGGTGCCTCCGTGGTGCTTTTCCCAAGCCCCGGGTGGGAACGGAGGCGAGCCGGGCGCCTGGCCGAGCCGCGTGCCGCCCTAACGCCGTCTCCCCTCTTGCTGTCTTGCAGGTATGGTGTGAATATGCGCTGCCTCGCAGCCCGGGTCAACTACAAGACGCTCATCGTCATCTGCGCCCTCTTCACGCTCGTCACGGTGCTGCTCTGGAACAAATGCTCCACGGAGAGCGCGGGGCGCGCGGCCGCCGGGGAGCCCCCGCGCCCCCACAGCGAGGAGGCTTCGCCCCAGGAGCAGCAGAGAGCCCCGCCGGTCGTGGGGGGCTTCCAGAGGCCCCCCGGGCCCAAGTACGAGGAGATTGACTGTCTGATCAATGACGAACACACCATTAAAGGGAGGAGGGAAGGCAACGAGATCTTCCTGCCGTTCAGCTGGGTAGAGAAATACTTTGAGGTTTAYGGGAAAATTGCGCAGTACGATGGTTATGACAGGTTTGAATTCTCTCATAGCTACTCCAAAGTGTACACACAGAGAGCCCCGTACCACCCGGACGGGGTGTTCATGTCCTTCGAGGGCTACAACGTCGAGGTGCGGGACAGGGTGAAGTGCATCAGCGGCGTTGAAGGTTTGTCCCAAATCTTTCTTTGCCGTTGAAACGCCGCTGCGGGGCCGCGCTCGCCGCTGGAGGGGCCGGGGGGCTCTGACGTGGGCTCCCCGCCGCGCTCGTCCTCTGCAGCCTCGTGCCGCTCCGTGCACGCGAGGGGAGCGCGGGGAGCCGGCTGTGAACCCCAAAAGCCACCGCAGCTCCTTCCCCTCGGCCCCGGCCAGGCTGAGGCGCGGCAAGACCTTTCTAGTTGGCCCTTTTGGCAATAATGCAGGCAGCAATTAGCACATGAGGTCTTGCCGCCTCTTAGCGGAGGTTTAATAGCAGAAAATTCTTGTTGGGTTGCGTAGTAAAAAATTAATGCCTTTATAAGACCATTATAGAACATGACACSGACACTCGTAAATTAAAGAGCTTTCATTTGGTGTATTAGAATACGTGAATCTTTGTGCATCTCGGTGATTGGTGGTGCTCTGCAGTRTTGGTACAAACTCTTCCCATCCTATAGTCCTCCTTGAGAAGGCTGGGACAATTAGTGCAATGAGTTTGTCTAAGGATTCGCATAAAAGACCAAGCACGCAGGTATGGCGATCGTTCTTGYGTGTTCTTATATTGCTCATCACCTTTTTGCTTTTCACCTTGGGTGTCACCCAGTGAGTCCCTCTCGCTCCGGATCCCTCCGCGGAGTTTGAAAGGAGCCGCTCGCTCTCCGGTGCTCTGGGTGGCTGCTGGTTAAACGAGGGCGTTGAGGTGGCTCTCACAACCTTGGGCTTTTCAGCACTTTCTATCAGTGCTTCAGAATTCGCTGCCTTCTCACACGTCTGTCCGCTCGGGGACAGATGGCTGGTTTTGTGGCTAGAGCCAGYGCCGATCAAATAGGACTCGAAAGTGTCCAAAACAGCAATCAGTGCCTCCTTCGTTGATATCAGGGGGAGATTTCGTGTTTTTCTCACTGGRTCGGGGGCAGTTGGAGCTAGGCCTGGAAGCACTACCAGTTTTTGTGTTAAGTGTTGGAGTTGTGCGGAGCGTCCCTTGCGCTTGGACTCCTTGCAAGACTTGTGGCATTCTTGAGCAAGAGGCCTGGGTCTGCTATGAGATAATGCAGGACCAGGACACGGTCTGCGGTCTCTGCTTGCACTGAAATGTGAGTGTAGGTGCTATAAAGGCAAGAGAATCATTGACATCTCTTAAACAGGCCTCACAGGGGAGATAGCTGCAGCCCATGGGAGGGGGGTTAATCCTAAAACCCATTCCCAGAAARTTTTAGATTCCTGCCTTGCATCCTYCCAGGCCCGGAGGTTCTCACTTTGCAACACGAGGACAAGCCTCGTGTTCTGTTTTCACCTCTCCTCCTGCAAGGTTAATGTGTTGCGTTGTGTTTCCGACCTGGGGAGTTCAATCTTGACATCTTGCGTGTATTTCAAGGGAAGCTCTTAGAGCCGTTTTGCTTTTTGCATCTTTCAGTCTCGACGTGCACGTCCTTCACGGAGAACGTGTAGCATTAATGAGGAATCCGGCTTCCAGGGGTCACATAATACTGACACTTAAGCCTTTCGCAGGATGGTTTTCTCTTCAGAAAAGAACAGAATCACATCTCCATGCGAAATATTTATTAGCAAAATGAAGCATGGAATTATGTGCGAAAACTTATCTTTTCACATTTCGTTTAATCTTGTTGCTGCACCAGGTTTCAGGCAGTTTGGGTTTCTGAGCTTGACATTGCCCGCGGGGGAAATGGGGCAGCTGCCAACTCGCATATTCTCATGTTAACCTTTCTTTCGTTGGGCAAAGGTTTGCAGCACAAAACATCCTTGGTTGCCTGCGAGAGGGTCACGCTGCTGTATTTTCCCTTTGGTTTTACACTTAGAGGTTGGGAATTTGCTCCAAATAAAATCTAGGGCRTGGAGAGGATTCTGTTTTTATCCGTATCCGAAGTATTGCACGTTTGCTCTTTGTGTGTATGAGGGGGTATGTATGAAGATTGCTCTTCCTTAGCATGGGTCTTCCTTTCCTACGCAGCCGTTGGTGCCATGTGCAGTTTGCCAGGTTTTAATTCGGAATCCAAGGTTGTACCTGCTGGGACTCCTTGGGAGGAAGGCAGGACAGAGGCTGGGAGTTGGGAGATTTTCCATGCGTGCATCTTTCCCATTTCTCCTCATGGAATTTGGGAGTTTAATCTGTGACGTTACCTGAGCTCACGCTACGAGTTCTGCGTGGAAAATCCCTCAGGCTACGGAAAACACTGTGACCTTCCTGGTTGAATCCAGTGCAAGGCTGGAGCTCCAGGGGCTATCCTTGGCGGCTGCAGACATGAGCTGATCCCGAGCCCCGAATGAGAGCAGGGAGAGGAGCCGTTCTRGAGGCTGCTCGCTCGTGGGGCAGGGAAGGGGACATGGGGGGCCACCTTGCCTTGCTCCTCAGGAATTGCAATGATCGGAGCGGGTTTGTGGGTGCCACGTGAATTGCTGCTTTAGCCCCAGGTAGCCCTGGCCAAAATCTAGGAGTGGCCCCTGCACTTCATTTGCAAAGAYTGGCATTAAGGAGCTCATTTGGAGATATAGTGGTCTCCGGGGTAGGGGGAGGCAAGTCTATTAAGGCACTTGAAATGTGTTTGGGACGAGGATGATGCTTCAGCAAAYGGTCCCCAGTACATGTGGATGGAGGACCGTGGTCAGGGCTCCTGTGCCGTTCACCTCTGCTCGCTTGGGTCTTGGAGCAAATGGTTATGGATGGGTATAAGTTGAAACGCAACTTACAACCCGGGCAGCTCCACGTGCCCGTGAGGAAGAGCTTGTTTGGTGGGAGGGTGCCCAGCCCCGGCCCAGGCTGCCAGGGAGGCTGCGGAGGCTCCTGCTCTGCAGATCTGCCAGCGCGCCGGGATGGACCGGCTGCCCCGTGCTCCGGGTGTCCCTGTGGAGCAGGGGCTGCGCTGGGGGAGCCCTAGGGATCTCTTCCAACCTCAGCCATTCCATGGTTCTGTGAATTCGCAGCAGTCTGTGCTTTGAGCAGGAGTTTGGGCTGTGGAGGAGGAGGAGTGCAGTGCCGCAAGCMCTATATTTCGTTTTTTAAGTGTTCTGCTAAATACTTTTTTTTTTTTTTTTAAATTCTTTTTTCCCTCTTTCTTGCAGGTGTACCGCTGTCCACGCAGTGGGGACCTCAAGGGTATTTCTACCCAATCCAGATTGCACAGTATGGGTTAAGTCACTACAGTAAAAACCTGACCGAGAAACCACCTCACGTAGAGGTGTACGAAACCGCCGAGGACAAGGACAAAAGCAGCARGTCCGCGGACTGGACTGTCCCAAAAGGCTGCTCCCTCGCAACAGTCTATGATAAATCCAAGTTCACTAATGTTAAACAGTTTATTGCTCCAGGTGGGTCACTGCAAATACAAACTGCTAAACCATTCCTGTTAATTTGCACAGGTGGCATCAGGGGAGCTTTAACTTTCCGGGATTAATGTGTGTTTGTCCTGTGTGATTTCTCATCCTTGAGCATCACCTGAGAACGTCCCCTCCTTGCTGCCCGTCTGATCCTTTCCTTGGCTTCTGCTTCCTCCCAGCTGCTGTTTTTAAAACCTCGCTCTTGGGCTGGAAGAGGCCAATGCACAAAGGGACGTGTGGAGGACAGGGCAGTTCAGCACAGGAGTTGCATTGCCCGAGTGTCTCAGCATCTCTTAGCATCCACCTCGCWATAGAATCACAGGATGGTTAAGGTTGGAAGGGACCTCTGGAGATCATCTAGTATGAAAAGAGCCCAAAAAATTAACCTAGATCAATAGAGCCCAAAAAATTAACCTAGATCAATAGAGCCCAAAAAATTAACCTAGATCAACAGAGCCCAAAAAATTAACCTAGATCAACAGAGCCCAAGAAATTAACCGTCTCTGAAGCCTGGAGTGCCCCCCATATGGTATGAGCCAGTCTGGACAAACCAGCTCTGCTTTCAGCCTCGAGCATGTCTAGCACGTTGCTCTCCCAGTCCCTTTTTATTGGGAAGAAGTGATTTTTGCAAACCGTGTGGATCGGTTTCGGTCACCCGAGTTGCCTCGGGCAGGGAGCAACTTAGAGATGGAGCAGCTACAAATGCACCGTGAAGGCCATGAGCTCCTCTCGCATCCCAACCCGCTGCAGCTGCGCTTTCCTGCCACCCCTAGAATGTACCATCCTCTGCCTCGTACTTCCCAGAGGTTTATTTTGAGAAATTCATTATTTTATGCAAGAGTTTCCTTTGGGCTAGGACAGGCTCATTAATAAGGACGCAATGTATTTTTCTGCAATCAATACCCATTAGAATTAATGAGCCCATTACTTAAAAAGACAATGAAGTAATTTTCAGTTGGCACCTTAGGCCTGGGTCTCTGGGGAGAAAATTGTCGAACAGGCTTGTGTCTTTGCAGTAGATAAATACAGGGAGAGGGAAGGCTAARAGATCTGTTATGTATTCTGCCCTCATCCTTTATTGATGGCAGAGTAATCTTCAGAGCTTGAAGGCCGTACTTTGCATCCACTCCTCTTAGATGGCCTTAAGTAATGGATTTATAGGTGCTTAAGGCAGTGCAAACAACAGGCAGTCTTCAGTTTTCTTCTGGTTCTTCAAGCCTTTTCTTTAATATAATTCAATAGGTTATCATATGAGCATTTATTTACAAGAAAGTGTAAAACATTTTACGGGAATTTTGAGCATTTTTTTTTTTAATTAGAGCATTTTTTTTATTAGACTTTTCACTTTCAGGCGCAAGTGTTGTGCTGCAAAGTGCTCGGCCGCTTCACAAGCAKATCTCCAACACTCAAAGGAGCCGAAGCTTTTACTTTCAGAAACATGACATTCAGTCAAAACAATAGATATTGTGGAATGGACTTGCACAGTGTGAAATGTGGAAATGGTCCTGATGCAAAATGCTGTAGGTTCGTTTGGGAGGTGGGGAAAAGCCTCGGCTTTGGGACAAAAGCTGACCATAACTCGTCTGTGGCACGCAGAAATATTTATGGGATTTTTCACACACCGAGAAAGAGCAGCAAGGAAACAATTGCTCACACAGGAGAATTTCAGTCTATGAAAAGCCGTTAATTCAAACCGACTATCTTTAAATGTTTATCGCCCCTGTGTGCCTTCAAAGCGGCAGGATTTGCACGCAGCCTTGCAAACTAATTAGCCCTTTGATCTGCCGGTGTCGGGCTTTTTGGGGTGGAGTTGCTTTCCCATTTTAAAATCTAGCCTGAGAGAGAACATTGGATTTCATTATGTGGTATTGCCTGGGAGCTTTATTCCATTTTTTTTTTTTTTTGATTAAACAAACTGAGTCTTGCCCACAGAGAGGTTAATAAATACTTCAACATGTTGATCTTTCCCTATTCTTCGCCCTCCCCGTTTAACTAATCAGTGAGCTATTTTTCTAGAACTGTCAGGCTGGGAAATAAAAAGTGATAGATTTTAGTGTTAGCCCCAGTAGTTTTCTAAATAGTTGTTTCTTTGCTCTCCTGGCTCTCCTGCTTGAAGCGCTGCTGTATTTAGAGGTGTGACTGCTACGGTGGCACCGTGGTGGGTTTTTTTCTGTCAAGCGAAATTCTCCGTTTTCTATTTTGAACTGGAGCAGCCGCCGCGGCGCCCGGAGCAGCCCGCGTGCCCGGTGAAATCCCGGCTGGCTCGGCACCCACCGTGGGCCAAGTGCTGAAGTCCTTCTCTGTGCCCGCTTGTCTTCCTTTGGGAGCCCAAATGACGTTTAAGATGTTAAATACTGTTCACGTGTTTCTCTGACCGTGTTTCTGAAGATCGTAAATGACTCAACCGAGCCGTATTCATCCCTAAAAATGATAGATGATTTTTTTTTKRMYTTTTTTTTTTTGCTAGAAAGTTGAAGTGGAATTAGCTGGCGTTGGGCTGCAGAGTCCTTAGGCTGGTGGGGACCTTGGAGGGTGACGGCCACCTCCACCAGGGCAGGCCCATCCTCGTCCCCTCGCTAAGCTGGACTTTGTGCATCTCCAGGGCTGGAGATCCCACCACGCTTGACCACCCTTACTGTGGATTCCACCCTCTARCAGTGTCCAGAGTTTTTAGTTCTTGCAGCTTATGGGCTGTGCCCCATCCCATCCCTGTGCTCCAGCAGCAAGATCCCTGTTGGTCTTCTCCAGGCTGGATGCACTTAGAGCTTCCAAAGACCTCCAAAASCCACAGCGATCACCTGCCTGCACCAGGATTCTTGGTGCCCCAAGAGTTGGCCTTGGCTCACCAAATGGGTTTTATAGTTAGGGAATAATAGATATCAAAAAGGAGTGAAAAAGAAGAGAGAATGTTTGAATTCTTGCCTGGCTACCCTTGAAGTATTTGGATTTTATCTGCTGACCTGGTTGTTACAGAAGTTGCACTCTGTGTCATAATCTTTATAAAACAAAACAAACAAAAYGTTTTGCCACTGAACAAGGTGATTTTTGTTTCTTTTACAGAAAATACCGACGGGGTATCTCTGCAGCTTGGCAACACTAGAGATTTTATTATTTCCTTCGACCTCAAATTCATCACGAACGGGAGCATTTCGGTGGTTCTCGAGACGACGGAGAGGAACCAGCTCTTCACCGTGCACTACGTGTCCAACACGCAGCTCATCGCCTTCAAGGAGCGCGACGTCTACTACGGCATCGGGCCGCGCACCGCTTGGAGCACCGTCACGCGGGACCTGCTCACCGACCTGCGCAAAGGCGTCGGCCTCTCCAACACCAAGGCCGTGAAGCAGACCAAGATCATGCCCAAGAGGGTGGTGCGCCTCGTGGCCAAGGGCAAGGGCCTCCTGGACAACGTCACCATCTCGGCCACGGCGCACATGGCGGCCTTCTTCGCCGCCAGCCGCTGGCTGGTGCGCAACCAGGACGAGAAGGGCGGCTGGCCCATCATGGTGACGCGGAAGCTTGGGGAAGGCTTCAAGGCGCTCGAGCCCGGCTGGTACTCGGCCATGGCGCAGGGGCAGGCCATGTCCACGCTCGTGCGGGCCTACCTGCTCACCAAGGAGCAGGCGTTCCTGGGCGCCGCGCTGCGCGCCACGGCGCCCTACAAGCTCCCCGCCGAGGCGCGCGGCGTCAGGGCGCTCTTCATGGGCCGCCACGACTGGTACGAGGAGTACCCCACGTCGCCCAGCTCCTTCGTGCTCAACGGCTTCATGTACTCGCTCATCGGGCTCTACGACCTCAAGGAGACGGCGGGCGAGAAGCTGGGCAAGGAGGCCAGGCTGCTCTACGAGCGGGGCATGGAGTCGCTCAAGGCCATGCTGCCCCTCTACGACACCGGCTCGGGCACCATCTACGACCTGCGGCACTTCATGCTGGGCACGGCGCCCAACCTGGCGCGCTGGGACTACCACACGACCCACATCAACCAGCTGCAGCTGCTCAGCACCATCGACGACTCGCCCCTCTTCAAGGAGTTCGTCAAGCGCTGGAAGAGCTACCTGCGCGGCGGCAGGGCCAAGCACAACTAAGACCGCGTTTAAGCCTCAAAGACGGCGTGCTGAGTTTGACTGTTGCAATGAAGTGGTCCTTAAAAACTCCCTCCCTCCAAGTAATTGCATTCCAGAGTGAGAATACTGGGGGCTCCCAGGCGGGATGGGGAGCAGGGTCCCATCCCGGCAGCGTCTGCCCCTCGCCCACCGTGTCCCGCTGCAGAATTAGCCACAAGAAGCCGCGTCCGTTTGTGCCCCCGAGTCCGGGGATGTTTTTCCTTTTCCTTTTTGTAGGAAAATCCTTGCAGAAGCCATACCGGCCTCTAATGCCCAGCACCTGCCTGGAAAGTTAGTGTGTGGCCTCTTTTAAGATGGAGCTTCACGTGTTCGTGTGTTGGGAGCAGCGTAACGACCCCGAGGTGTGATGCAGTCGCTGTGTGTTTACCTGTAGCCTGGGTTCTGGACCGTGTATCTTTTTAAAGGCGTTTCTTTTTATAGGGATTCTTTTCTTGAGGTGGAAGAAGRAAAAAAACACACGATTTTTTTAGTCCTATATATAGAAATCCTTAACGTTTGTTTCCTTGGAAGCTGTGTGAAGGGGAGGCCGCCCGCCCGCCCGCGCGCGCGGAGGCTTCGCGCTCCCGCTGGGTAAGCACAACACCGCACAAAGCCCGCGAATTCCCGCGGAGAATTCCCATCCGGAATTTCCATCCCCGACGCCGCAGCCCCCGCTGCCATTCCCGCCGGAGCCGTGGCCTCTTCACCCCCAGGGGCTGCTCCATCCCCAACGCTCCAGTGTTCACCAAGGACCCGGGGACAGGGATTCCCTTTTTCCYTTCCTTTCTTCCTCATTTCCCCACCGATCCTATTACATGTTATATGTTCCAGGTGTGGCTTTATGTTCTAGGCGTGGCTTAAGTTCCAGATGTCCGTACTGAGGTCAAGGTCCATCCAAGCCGCAGAAAAGCCGGGCACGTGGCCAAAACGCATTGTGCATTTTTTCTTCTTTTAGATGCCTCTTTTTCGTTCTTGCAGATATATGAGACAGCTTTGTAATTACTTGACCTTTGCAAACACGTGAGACGATTGTACCGGCTCATGTGGGAAGTGAATGCCACAGGAGAAGTTTCAATACCAAAGTTAGCTCCAGACACCTTGTTTCCGCACCCGCACGTGCCCACGTCCTTCCCACTAGTGACCGGTCCTTCCTGCCACCACAGGCGGCGTTTTCCTGCATCTTTCCTCGTTTTTTGCCCGTTTTTGATTCCGTGAATATTTGGGTATTGCCCAGGAGACAGTACCAGTGCCTTAATGAGGCCGCATTTCCTCTTGTTTTAAGGACAGCTGAAGAGCAGGGCTGGTTTTTCCGTGTTTTTGATGGAACCAGCCCAGGAGCTGGGGGGACCTTGGCCAGACGCGTCAGTTGGCAGCGTCAGCCGGAGCGTCCTGTCCTGAACACCCTGCTTGCTTTCCTGTTGCCCTTCGCACAAGTGTAAATCAAAGCAGCCCGCCACCAGGGGCTGTGGGATGAAGAGAATTAGTGGGTGGATTTTCTCCTATATTTTGCTTTTTAATAGAATTTGGTGGTGGAAGAGGATTTTTGGACACTGCTGCCCGTAGCTTCGCTGGATTCGCTCATCTCTTAATTCCTTCGCTCCTCGGTGCTCAAAGCGACCGAGGTGTCACCCCGTGTCCCCGCGCCGTGCGTCCTGCAGCGCGTGCAGGGCCGGGGCCGTATGCAACCACCGACACAAGCACAACTCCGAGACGTGGCCGTGCGCTTTCCCTTGGCCCTCCTGCCACACATTCACCGAAAGCTGCTATTATCATTCGCTGTGTAATTGTACTTTATTTTTTCTACTTTATTATTTCTCTTTTTTTTTTTACATGTGGGGTATACACCATGTGTTAAATATGCAATAAATTGTTTACCGGATGCCCTTGTGAAGGGTAGTCCTTTGTAAAGCTGTACAGACTTTGCAGTTTAAGCACAATGTGCGCGTTAGTTTTATATACAGCGAGACGTGACTTTTTGCAGAGGGAAAGGTTCTACTATGTTTATATACAAAGTAAATGGATCAACATTTGTGCTTAATGTAAAGCTGCTTTATAAAATTGTAAAATAAATCTTTTTTTTAATCTCGAGGCCGCCGTGGGCTGTTTCCTGTGCCGCTTGCTGGCTGCTGGCCCCTGTGCGGGTGAGTGCATGGGCCGTGC